TATATATATGTTGATAGTACAAATAATTTTTACGCGATTATCTAATATAATGTATTATAGAAGATTACTTGTCATTTTTATCAAATTACTAATTGACTATAGAAATTTATACGTAATTACTTTAAAGTAATATAATTGTGAGTATTTTTTTTTATACCATTCATGTATAGAATTTTAAGATAGAAAATTTTCAAAGTAAGAGAGGTAACTTATTTTCGGCTGAATTCTACACCCTCCCCACTTGCTATACTTTATCACTATTGTAACAACCAACATCATGATCCACTACAATTATAATAACGTAACGTAGATGTTTTCAACTATTAAATGCAACCAATATCCTAAAATACTTGGGATTAAAGATGTTTTACACCCAATCAAAAACAGTAAAATACCAACGACTTTTCTTTTTCCCCTTTCACTCGAGTTTCTTCCCAAGCAGTGATGAACTAACAGAAACTCGAGTTCCTCACTGAGAAAGTACTTATCTTCTTATCTTTTCTTTCGCAGAGTGAACAGCAGAAAGGAAAACAAGAAAACTAAAAGCACAAAAAGAAAACAGAGAGTAAACCTGAAAGGTCACAGAAGAAAGTGTCTCCCTCCTAGCAAAAGAAGTCTTGGCATTGGGCACCGACGCATGTAGCATACAAGCTAGTGATTCCCACATGTTCAAACTCAACGAATCACCAATAAACATTATCTTCTTTCCTGTCCATCTCTTCAAGAAATCTTTTCCATTAAACCTAAAACACCAAAATCCTCAAACACTACAATCAAATAAAATCTCCAAAAAATTAAAATAATAATCTACTAACCGCATTAAAACAACTACTACATCGGTTACGAGAATTTATCATAAATTGACTAGCTTAATATTTTTATTAATCTACCGTAATCCTCATCTTTTAAACTTTGAAATTAGCAATATGAATAAGCTCACCAAACCGTATTGAGAAGGAAATTTTTTGATTTTTGCTTCTTCCAAGTGGATGACACACAATGTTTTCTAAGTCATTTTTGCACATAAAAAACAGTCATAGGAAGAAAAAAGAACTTCTTTGTTTCTTCAAAATGGTTGACACAATATTTTGTAAGTCATTTTTGCATATCAAAAACTGACAGTTATGGAAGAAGAATTTGAAAGGGTACCTGGGTAAGTTGCAAGAATCAGGTTTCCAAGCATATTTCATGTATTGCTTATCAGGGCGGCCATATTTTTGGCAATCAAATTCAGGATCAATGAAAGGGCAAGTTGAGGAATCATAGAGAGGAAAAGAAGGGTCAATAACCCATCGACCCTGAAACAAGTTGCACCTGCTACTGCTTACTACTCCTTTGCTTTTCCAACTAAGACCACTAACATTTTGTACTACAAGCTCTGCTCTTGCAGTAGTGTGTAAGAACACAGATATAATGCTGACTAAATGGAGAAGCAGAGTACTTGAGATGACCAATTGGCTCCACAAAACCATCTTTGGCTTTTGGTGTGAAAATAATGGAGGGAAATAAAGAGGAGCTTGTCTTCAAGTTGAGTACACTGTCCATATATATATATATATAGTAGTACAACAATAACATAACTAAAGAGAAGTTCTTTTTTTTTATTTTTTTTG